AACTGTCATATCAAACAAAACATTTAAAGCTTCCATTACCCCTCAAATTCTCTTGGGAATTTTTGCAGTTGATATCACTGCCCTTACCCATCTCCAGCCACCCATCCATTTTCTGTTGCTATAGAATTCACATAAACAAATTTCAACATGTGTAGTTATTTTTGTCTGATTTCTTTCACTTACCATAATTGCTGAGCATTATTCTATTGTATGGATATACCACAATTGGTTTATTGACACACAAGCAGGTTGTCAGGTAGGTTGTTTCCAGAGTTTGGTTATTTTGAATAAAGCTACTAAGAACATTTGAGTGTAAATCTGCATGAACATAGACTTTTATTTCTCTTGAGTAAATAAATACATAGGAATGGGATTGCTGGTTCATAGGATACAGGCTTGTTTAGTCTTATAAGAAACTGCCAAATTGCTTTCCAAGTGGCTGTACCATTTTGTGGTCTTACTCTTAATAGGTGAGAGTTTCAGTTTTTCCTCATCTTGCCAACACTTAATGTTGTCAGATTTGGTAACGTTTGCTAAGTCAGTAGGAGTACAACAGTTTTTCGTTGTAGTTTTAATTTTGTACTTTCTGAATGGCTGATACTGAGTCTTTCCATATGCTTATTTGCCTTTTAAAAAATTATCTTAAAGTACATGTTGAAATCTTTCACCTGCCCTTTATTATGTTTGTTGGTCTTCTTTTAATGAGTGTAAGAGTGTGTAAATTCTTTTCTTCTTATTTTCCTAATAATTTTTCCACGTGAAAAGTTTTTAATCTTCATGAAGTCCAATTTATCTTTTCTTTTTCTTTATGGTTTATACCCTTTGTGTACTAGCTAGGAAATTTTTGGCTAATCTAAGTTCACAAAACTTTTCAATTGTTTTCCTAAAAGCTTTATAGTTTTAACTCTTACATTTATGTCTATGATCCATTTTGAATCACTTTTTGTGTGGGATAGGAGAAAAAAGGTTCACTAGTTCCTGAATCTTTATCTAGTTATTACAGGCACTACTTATTGAAAAGATTATCATTTCCCTCATTCAAGTACTCAAACACTTTTGCCTTCATATCTTACCTTGATTGACAATGGGTTGAAGCAATTACAAAAGTGAATGTCCCCTCAAAGTGAATGGGAAGACACAATGGGACTTTTCTTCTGAAACGGAGGTAGAATATCCAAGACTTGAGTCACAAATGGTGAAGATTTTTTTATTGCTAAGAATTCTGCTTTCCACAGCATCTCATTTGTTATGAAGTACAAATACTCACTTCTCTCCCCATTTTCCTTCTTTCTCCTTTCTTCTTTCTGAAGAAGGGTTCCTGTTGAAATGACTTGTGAGAAACCATTTAAGCAGAAAGAATCTTCAAATAGCAAAGCAAGAAGGAACCAATAATATGAAGCACAAATTTCACATTTGTAAAACCAAGCAAGAGAGACCCAGTAAGGTTAAGCGACTTTCCCAATGTCACACAGCAAGGAAGTGGCAAATGACCGTCTCAAAACCCACTAGTATGGACTGCTCATCTTCCATACCACGATTTCCCTCCTAATGATTTCCCCAAAGAACAGCGGCTCCTGAAGTATTGGGACTTTATTAAACTATCTGGAGAAGGAGGGGGTCTCATGTGGCATTTTATGCAGATCTGGGTTTGGAGGACAAAAAATCAAGAGGCTTCAGTTTATGGCTCCGTTCCCTTTCCATAGTGGTCATCTGAAACTGCTCGGTTGCTTTCTTATTGCTCCCCAAACAATTGAGTATTTCAGGCCTTGGGACTTCGTCATTACCCAAATTTTCCCCAACCTGGATTCCTCCTTTCTCCTGTGCCCAGGAGTGCATGGCCTCTCAGGGCTGCAGAGTGTGTGTGGGCAGGCAGAGGGCATCACAGCTACAGTGACACTGTCTCCATCATGTGGCTTCAGGCTCTGAGGAGCAAGTCTAAAGCTGAGGTTGGAGAGCCATCCAGGATGGTGGCAATGGGGACATTATAGTCCCTGGTCACAATATTTGGAACATCAGCCTTGGACATCACAGACTATTGTGTTCAGGTCCCTGTTATACAAATGGGAAAACCGAATCCTAGCAAGGACATTCTGTGTTCCCAATGTCACACAGCGAAGCCACATAGTATGGACTTTGACATACAGAAACACAGTTCTGTGCACTATTCTTTCCTTTTGTTTGATGAGACAAAATAAAAATTATATTTTGTATTCGTACATTTTATTCTATACTTCATCACTGTGTTGGCATTTATAAATACAAATTACTGAGTGGTATTATGTACACAAATCCATGTATACTGTGTTTTATGGATGATTTATAGTATATGTAGCCAAAATAACCCTTTAAATGTGATTTTTGTCTAACCCAGAGTCTTGGAACCTAGGCTTCTGTGAAATATGTACCTTAATGTGTAATTTAATAGAGGGCTGTGGGGTAAGATGAGGGAGATCCTAGTTCCTATTAAAGCCCTCTTTCCCCAGCACTAAGCTTTTTTTTTTTTTTTTTGAAATGCTGGATTTTTGTCTGGGATTGCCCCTCCCTGAGACAAAAAAAGGAAAGGCCAAAGAGAGTAGTTTTGCCAGGAAGTTTGCAGATAAGGCAAAAAGTGGTCAGCAAATGCCCATTAAATGCAGTTTCTAACAGTCTCCACAATGAAGTTTTAATTTGCAACACCTCCCTCCCACCTCCTCCCACCACCCGGGCCACCAACCCTGCAGCTTGATTTCCAGGGGCTGAGAGCAGCCTGCACCATATTCCTTTAATGCTGGGTCCTCCTCTGGGTTCTTCGTCTCCCTGGGAAGTGACTGTGTACAGGCAGAGTGTAATTGGCAGGCTGTGACACTCCTGTCTGCAAGTATCTCTCTAAGTGGAGCACATTTCAGCCTTTATCTGGTGATGGCTGCTACCTGAGAAAGGCCCAGGGCCATCTCAAAGGGCTTGTAGCAGCTAATTGTGCCTGTTAGGACCAGCAATTAGCTGGAGATCTCTGGACTTCGAAGCTCCAACACCCACCAGCTTTCAGCTTGCTTCTCTCTCTTTCACTTAACTAGTTGAGCCTAATGGACGCAGTGACGGACAGGCGGGCGAGGCGCCCAAAGACAGGGAAGGTGGAGGCTGGCCTCATCCAACGCCCCCTCCGAGGCCTGCACTCCACCCTCACCCAAGAGGCAAGAAACAGGCACTCTACACTGATGTCACGCCATAAATACACCCTGTTTATTGCAGGACCAGGGCTGGCGGCTTATTAATCGGTATTGGGAGTCATGCTGCCCCTGTTTGAACTGTTTAAGTGTGAGTTAGAAGATGACAATAAAAAACTAATTAGGCACAGTTCATAAAGGAGGATCACACATGCCTGGTGTTGCTGGTTACTGTGGGCAGATGATGGTTTCAGTGGACACACAAGGCAGAACATCTGAAAATTAAGACAATAAATCAGTTTCACTGAATAAAAGACATGCATTTACCCATTAATTAAGGATAATAGAATCCTATAAGCTTTTGTGTGCCTTAGGTAATTTGTTATACTTTACCATAATTTTATACATTGAAAATTAAAAATTCAGTATACTTTATAGGTAATGAACTTGCTCTAGTTCTAGAAAGAACTAACAGCTCACAAGTCAGCCCAATACTACATTTAGGATCACACGATCTATTTTTGTCCATTGATGAGGATTAATTATTGGATATTCCTCTCTTGCCGGTTTGTAGCTGGCCACTGTGTCTGCTTTAGAGAGAGTTTGTTTTATTTTTTAGCATCTCTCCACCCATTTTCTTTCTTTAAAAAACAGCACACTCACCAGGCATGGTGGCCCAGGCCTGTAATCCCACCACTCTGGGAGGCTGAAGCAGGAATATCAGTAACTTCAAGACCAATCTGGGCAACTTAGCAAGACACTGTCTCAGAATAAAACATAGAGAGGGGCTAGGGTGTATCTCAGTGTGAAGGCCCTGGGTTCAATTCCAAGTACTGGAAAAAGAACAGCATTCTGATACTCTTTTGGGAAAATACTTTTCCCCCATTGTTTGTGGTCTTGATGGGGCTGTCAATCAAGGGGCCCAAGGTGGGCAGGGAATCAGAGCTGAGCCAACAAAGCTCACTGTCCCAGGACTCAGACTCCAGCAGAGTAATATAAGGACACAGGAAAAACATGGTCCCAGAGTCACACCTGAACAAGATTGTCAACTAAGTTGTGCCTTAGGGACTTCTAAGACATCCAATAGTCATACCTGCTGATAGGGAGAATAACTGACTGACCCACAAAAAAAAATCTATGTTCTAGTCACCAGCATCAGTGAATATGTCAGTTGACATGGCAGTGATTTTGGAGCTGTGATATGGTATTGACCTTGAGATGGAAAGATAACCCTGAATTATCTAGGGGGCATTGTGTCATGGTTTCCCTTTCCCAGCTGGATCAGAGAAAGAGCTAACAGTAGCAGAAGAGTCAGAGATGAGAGATGAGGATTCAGCCACCATTCCTGACAATTCCTGAAGTTCTGCTGCTCACAGCTACACCTACTGAAAGACTTCTTTTTCTCTCATCTTTTTCCTTTCTTTCCCCATCCCCTTCCCTCTTCATCCTCTTCCTTCTTCCTATCATCCTTATTCTTCAGTTTTCAAAACACGAATACCTGGATCTCCCAGCCATTTGCCATCCTCACAATCTCATTCACTCATTCTGGGAAGTGGCACAGATACTTGAATTTTTTTAAAAAAAATCCTTCCTGAGCATTGTGATTCACTTGGAAATTCAAGTGCCTGAGAAGAATCCCTGGCCTAATTCTAAGCCAATATTTCATGACAAAGTAATGGAGACGAGAATGTTAATGCCCCAAATGCCCCATGTAGCCAGACAGTAATAGGGAACTCTGGCATCCTAACTCCAGGCGTGGGGCTTTCCTAATGGCAAGGGGCAAGGACATTCTAGAACTCAGTGAGATCCCCATCACCTTTCAGACTAGTAATTGTGAGTCACCTTTGCCATTATTGGGACAAAACGCCAACAACTTAAAGTAAGAGAGGTCTGTTTCAGCTCATGGATTAGTCTACAACCAGCTGGCTCCAAGGCAGAAACAGCATGGTGGAAAGGCATGGCAGAGGAAAACTTTTGACTGCATGGTGCCCAGAAGGTAGAGAGAGAAGGGAGGAGCTGGGGAAGAGAATGCACCCATCCATGTCCTGTCCACAGTGACCCACCCCTTCCGACCAGGCCCTGCCTCTGAATTTAAGACTTTTTGGAAGACATTTTAGATCTAGACCTTAACAATAATCCTTATATTTAATTAATCAAGCACCTCATTCATTTATATTTTAATGTAATTATGTTATATTTGAGTTTGAATCTACCACCCTACTATGTGGTTTGGATTAGTCTTTCCCACTCTATGCTCTTTTCTTATCTTTGGATTCTTCTATTAATCCTCCTAGTGTTTCTTCAGTAGTCTGGAAGTCAACATTCATTTTCCCTTTTCTGGCTATCCTAGTGCAGTGGTTCTCAACTAGGGGAGGAGTTGCTAGTGTTGATAAATGAATAAAGGGCCAACATGCTGCTGAACATCTCATGGTACACAGAAAAATGCCCCAAAATAAAAATAAATGGTTCCAAATGTCCATTTTGAGCTGCAATGGTAGAATACTTGAGACAGTATAGAGAGCAGAGATTTATTTCTTACTCCTCAGGAAGCTGGGATCCCATGGTGGAGGGCCTGCATCTAGCAAGGGTCTTCTTGCTACATCCTCCCACCATGGAAGTTGGAAGGGAAAGAAGATATGTGTGAGACAGAGAGAAGGTAAGAGGGCTGAATTCTTCCTTTTATCAGGAGCCTAGTCCCCAAATAACTAACCTATCTTGTAACCATGACCTTAATCCAATCTCTGCTTGCACGTTGCTGCATTGGGGATTAAACACCTCACACATGAACTTTGGGGACATATTTAAACCACAACATTGCTGAGCTGAGAAATCCTACCAGACAGATGACAACTTTCATCCTTGATTTATCAAAATCTAATGTCAATATGGTAGCTTTACAAGTTTCACAAAAAATGCAATGAACACATTAACTCCTTTTGTCCAATTTCAACTCATAAGCTATCAGTGTGGAGTGTTCTTCATGCATTTTAAACCCCAAAAGATATCACTGTTAGTTTTGATATAGTCAGTCCTTCATTTAGACTTTCCCTGAGCTCATCATTCCTTCTTGCATCTCTCACCTTCCATCTGGAATCCTTTTCCTTCTGCCTGGAGAGCTCCCTTTATTATTTCATGGAGTGAAGATCTGCTAGTAAGAAGTTGTTTTCATTTTTGTTGGTCTAAAAATGTCTTTATTGCCCTTCGTTTTTGTTTCTCTGATTTCTAGTATATTCAGTGATGCCTACATGTAGAACACTTCTCCCTTCATAGCAAAAGCATTCTACACAACCACAACACTATCAGCACACATCAGAGAATTAATATTGATTTAATGATTTCTAAAATAGAGAAAGAGTTAATATTCAAATTTCCAATTTGCCCCCCATATGCCTTTTTTTGCTGGATTCTTTTATGAGATTTCACCTGGCTGTAATGTCTCTAGTCTTTTTCAACTTAGACTACCCTCTGGCTGTTTATTTTTTATTTTTGTTATTACTTACATATTATTTTACTTTCCCTGAAACATAATAACATAAAAATTGAATATAATAACTTGGTACTATGTAATATTTTGATATATGTATATATTGTATGATACTTAAATGAGGTTAAACATATCAGCCTCCTCAATTATCTATCATTTCTTCATGGGAAAAATATTCAATGTCCTTTCTTCTAGCATTTTGAGATACACAGTGCATAACAGTTGTCTATTGTCACCCTAATGAAATCCTGTCATTTGTGACAATGTGGATAGAACTGGAGATCATTATGTTAAGTGACATAAGCCAGGCTCAGAAAAATGAGAACTGCATGATTTCACTCACATGTGGAATATAAAAAAGTTGATGTCATACAAGTCCAGAGTGAGAGGCTGGGAGAGCAAAGGAGAAGGAGGAAGAGAGAAGGTTACTTATGTGGGTTTTTTGGTCGTTGTTTGTTTGTTTTGGTACAGGGGATTGAACTTGGGTCCTTGCACCTACTTATGTGGTTTTTGAAGAACCAGAAGAGTTGACTGGGAGACTGTCTCATGGCTAAATTTTTATTATTTCTTCATGATTTGATTTAGGTTGAATACCTTTGACAAGAGTATTGCATGGAGGATATATGCGCTTATTACTGCATAGTAGGAGGCACATAATATCAGGTTTGTCCCTCTGGTGGTGGTCACTTGGCTAAGATGGTGATTACCAGGTCTCTTTAGTATAGAGTTTTTCAGTGTAAAAACTTTGAGACTGTGATGTATCATTATTCCTAGTAATCTTTCACTAAAAATTCTTAGCATCCTTTGTTGATTCTTGCCTGACTCTACTAGTAGGTTCGAGTTGCAAAATGGTAGTTTTCTACTTGTATAATTCCATCTATGTTGAATAGTGGTTGGTGTTCTATTACAAAGAGAGTTTTGAGCTCAAGCTTGCTATTTAGAAAATCAGCATAACTCAAAACGTATTTTGTACTTTTTCCTATCCCACATCTGTAATCAGTCACTTTCATAGGAGCCCTGGTGTGCGTGTGTGTGCATATGTGTGTGTGTGTGTGTGTGTGTGTGCGCAGAATGTTATTTAGAAACCAAGAGCTTGGTTATAGGTGTGCTTCTTCAGTACATTTTTTTTGCTGAATTTAATCCCCTTTGAGGAAGGAATTAGGAAATACATATTTTCCTCTTAAAACCTGAGTTTATATTAATAACCTCTAATTCAATAAAACATTAATTTTAAATTTTAACTTCCTCCCGCATGCCAAGAACTCAACTTATGACATTATTTACACACTTTCCCTATTCTAATGATGTACAAAACAGTTTCAGAATTGCATTTGCACTACTATCCTTAACAAGCCTCCTAAACAACTGTCAAGATTATTTTGCAGGTTTCCCCCTAGGGTTTCAAAATTATTTTTTAACTTTGAAATAGATGCTTCTAAGAAAGTATATTAGAGTATTGTGTTCAAAAGTTACTTGAAAGGATTCTTTCGATTCATTGGTTGTGTGATTAATTTGAAGTATAATTGCATTGATATTCTCTATGTGCATATTTCCATATTTGCTTTAGATTCTTTTGATATTTTATTTTGGCATACATAAAACTTTTACATGGCCTAAAATTCAAAACTCTATGAAAGGATATCATATCGATATCACCCATTCCACTTCTACCCATCACTGGAGAAAAAGCTTTTCATTGCTCTCTGGTTTATCTTCCTGTGTTTTTATTGTGTGTTTGTATCAAAGCTCACTCAAACAGCCTTGTATGGATGGATAACATTTGAATGATACTGATTTTTACTACTCCAGTATAAATTCCTTAGTGATTTTGTAATTTTTTTCTTGGAGTTTTTGAGTTTATTTTTTTCTATTTTCATCTGTTTATTTTTCCACATGGGTGCTAAAAATTTTGTGTAGATCCAGGAAAAGAGTTATTGATATTTGTATTGTGATCATTGCAAATTCAGATATTTACTTGGTCAGATGATATTTTTATGGTGCTAAATTTTTCTTGTCCAAGAACAAGGAATCTATTTTCATTTCTTCAGGTCTACTTTTGAGACTTTCAGTGTGTTTTTAAATTTTCCTCACATATGTTTTGCACATTTCTTATTATATAAGAATTCATATTTTTGTTGTTTTAAGTGAGGTTTTCTTTTCGATTACATCTTCTAAGTGATTATTATTTATATAATTAAAGGCTATTACTTTTGTACTAATTCTCCAGCCTTCAACATTACTGAATTCTGCATTTGTATGTCCCTATGTGAAAATTAGTTCAACAATGATTTATTAGATATTCTGGGCATATTGACATAAGCAAATAAAGTTTTACTTTGGTTTCAATTCATGCACCTGTTATTGTTTGGAAAATATTAGCCAATGAAAGAAGACAAGAGATAAAGTACATAACAGTAGCAGAGATGGTAGGAATTACTGTATTTTCTAGAACTTGGAAAGATGATAGTTATCAAATAAAATAATACAGTCTGGACTGAAGAGTAAATATTATATCATTAAGAAAGTATCCATAAATTGTGAATGTATTGAATGTTTTTATCAATAGTAAATATCAACATTTGTTGAGGTCTCTTCAGTATCCATAAGTTAATTTTAAGATCTACTAATGTAATGGGTTATATTAGTGGATTTCTTAACTTTGACCATCCTTGAATTCATTAAATAATCCCACTTGATGTGATATGAGCTCCTTTAAGCTAGTTTTTGGGGTAATTTGACAAAGACGGATCCTTCTTTGAGTAACTTCTGTCCTTTTCAATGATTTTCATGCTTTATAATTTTCTTTTTACTTTCAGTTTATTTATACCTTTGGATATCTTTGTTATAACATTTCATCTTACTTTATTAAATTCTTTATGATAATTTTGGCTTTTTAATTGGATTTAGTCTTTTGTACTTCATGTAATTATTTAAATTCACTTAGACAAATGGTAACAATTTGATCTTCTATTTTATTATTTCTTTTTGGTTATTCTTTTCTTTCTTTCTGGTTGTTGCTGTTGTTGTTCTCTTGGGTTTTTTCCCCCCATCTCCTTTTGTTTTAAATAAACTTATCTTGGGTTTTATTTTAATGTATTAAATGGTTTTTAATTGTCTCTCTGATTGTTTAAAACTAGTTTCTCTGGAGATTAACTCTGATTTTTTAAAATCCAGTTGCTCTGGAGATTAAGATCTAAATCTTAAACTTTTCACCATGCACTTTGGTCTATTCTCTCCTTTTCCACCATTCTTTCCATACACTACAGCTGCATAATCTATAAATCCTAAATTACAGCATTATGTTTTCCTTCATATAGCTTTGTTAGATGTTTTTTTAAAAATTAAAAGAAAACCTTCTTTTAAATTTTCTACCTATTTATCAGTTATGGGACTATTCATTTCTTCCTCAAAATTGGTTTCCACTTGATATTATTTACCTCCAACCTGGGAATTTTTCTTGCACTATTTATCTACTAGGAATCAATTCTCTTAGTTTTGATTTATCTGGAAATGTCTTTATTTTGCTTTCATGCTTAAAGAATATTTTTTGTGTATATAGAATTGTTTATTGATGTTTTTATCTTTAAGTAATTTAGAAATGTCTTTGCACTGCCTTGTGAATTCCAATGCTTCTGATAAGAAGTTGGCTATCATGAACATTGTTGTTCCCTGGTTTTTTCTAGCCCCTTTCAAGATGTCCTTTGTTTTACACTATCAGTAGTTTGAATATATTATGTCAAGGTGGAGGTTTCTTTGTATTGCTTTTACCTGGAATTTTCTGAGTTGTAGTATCTGCAAGTCTATGTCATTTACCAAATTTAGAAAAATTTGGGGCATAACTTCTGTGAATATGTCTTTTGTCCTATTTTCTGTCTCCTTGCATTTTAGAATTTCAACTACAGTATGCTAGACTTCTTCATTTTACCCCCTAGGTCACTGGGCCTCTGTTGTTATTTTTAAATACTTTCCTTTTTTATATTAGATAATTACTATTGTTCTACCTTCCAATTCAATGACTCTTTCATCTGTTTCACTAATATACAATTATTTGCGTCTTATTAATATTTTTTATTCAAACTATTTATAGTATTTATGAGAAAATTGGTATAACAGGAGCAACTGGATCATTACTAGACGTAGAATTCTCCCAGAAAATGAAAAAAGTGAATTAC